CCCTCCCAAACGTGGCTGTTGTGGGGAGTGGAGTTGAGTGGAGATTCGAGGGACTCTGAACTGTTTGCAAACAGATGGACACAAAAAGGGGCGGGCTCGGCTGTGGAGGTAGGGCCAGCACCGGCTGCGTATTGTCCTTGGGAGTTTCCGCTTGGCGGTGAGTGGGTGTGAGGGCCCTGACCTTGTCCCCACAGCCCCATGTGTGTGATTGTGGTCATGCAGATCCCTGCAGCCGCGTCGCCCACCCCGTCACCGAGCTGCTGGCCAGCAGGTCCAGGAAGCAGGAGATGTCCCCCAATAGCCCATTGGCTTCCTCAGTCCCCCTGTTCCAGCCACCTGCTTGCCACCCACCTGCTGGCCTGGGGAGAACGCTCCCCTCACAGCACAGACCCCCCAGGGGAGGGCCCTGCCCTGGGGACCCTGGGGCAAAGGGACGCCTTTTCTGCAATTGTCCAGCCACATCGAGAGGCTCCAGATGAACTGCGTGCAGCCCCATCTCTCACCTCCTCCAAGCAGCGAGGGCCGTTTGCTGGATGGTGAGCCGCCAGTTGGTGCGCCGGGCTCGGGCCGGGACCCAGCCTCCTCTGAAGCGCTGTCATCAGAGAGCAGGACACTGAGTCCCTCCCCCAGCACCCACGCTGCAAGCGCTGGGTCTGAAGTGGAGCCCTCAGCGACCGGCCGCCAGCCCCTCCCAGACACTCGCCCGCTCAGCACAGGCCCCTTGGTGGGCAGCTCCCCTCCAGCCCACGCTTCCGGGCGACCTGAGAGCAGGTCACCGGCTGTCACGGAGCACCCTCCTCCCAGGCAATTAGGGGCCGTGGGCACAGGCTTTCTGTGCGTTCATTTCTTGAGGTGCCCATACGCCCGTCCCAGTGCTATGGAAATGCACGGCCTGGAGGGACGCAGAACAGAGTGCGTGCCCCTCACTGGGAGTGCGTGGGACCGGAGGGCTGGGGCCGAGACGGGTGCTGACCGTCCACACAGGCCGCAGGCACCCCATGGCTCCCACGCAGAAGCTACACTGTCACCTGTCTTACCACCTGGTGTGGTTACAGGGCGGGTAGGGCTGCGTGTCAGGGCGTTGGGGTGCTCGAGGCACAGGCTGCCCATGGGTCACCCTCACTGCCCTTGGCAGCCCTGGGGGGTGGGCCAAACCCTGGCATCAAGGAGCACCAGGGTGCCGCCTGTGAGGGGGGCCACGGGCGGGGGGGTCGGGGAGGCAGAGGGAAGCAGCCTGCCCTCCTGCAGCTGCCACCCCACCTTCTAACAGTAGGAGGGGAGCTGGCACACAGCACTGGCCTGGACGGCGGGGGGCGGGAGGGGTGGCAGACGCTTCTCTCCAGCTGGTCCCTCGGCAGGGATCTCCTGGCCCCGTGACCCCACAGGCCCCCCTTTCCTCCCAAAGGAGCCCAGAGCTGGAAGGGAAAGCTGTGGGAGCAGGCTGGGCTTTGGGCCATGAGAGGGGTCCCCAGTGGGCAGCCATTCTGGGGAGGTGTTGAGCTGGACGCCAGGGGCCAGAAGGCTGCCGTGAACACAGGAGGGTCTGCAGAGGGCTCTGCCCCGGGCCCTGGGTGGGGACTCACTTTTTGGAGGGCGATGCCCTCTCGTTCACCACTTTGAAAAGATTCTGCAGCAGCTTCTCCCCCCAGTAGAGGTCACAAAACTTCTCCGATATGGCCCCACAGAACGTGGCGTAGGTGAGGTCTTTCAGGGCGTAGATATATTCCCCTGGTTTTGCAAAACAATCAGAGCAAGTTAAAATGCGGGCACTTTTCTGGGTTCCTGCACTCTACAAACCAGTGAGGCTAGTCTCGGGGGCTGGGGCGGGGAGGGCAGCTGGGCTGAGACCAGACGGCCCCTGGGGACCAGCTCTGCCCACCGGCTCCTTGTGCAGATCGGAGCGGGGCCCCCCCTCTGTGGTGTCCTGAGTCCCCTTCACACTGAGCCTCTCCCAGCCCCTCCCAGGTCCTGGCGCATCTCCAAGGCCCGTGTCCCCCTGGTACCCATGATCAGAGCCTCCAGCCCGTTCTCCAGGTAGCCATCGAAGGCAAACTCCTCCTGGATGAGGCGCGTGGCCTCCTGCAGCGACGGGCAGGCCGTCGTCTCTGGGAGCGGCGAGGCATCCACACTGGACGGACACAGCTTGCGGTCTGCTGGCCGGGGCCGCTCTGCATGACTGTCTGGGGCCCGGTCATCCCGCTCCCTGACAGGGGGGCTCCTGGGGCTGCTGGCACTCCCCCCGGCCAGGGAGGGGCCCTCGGTGGCCTTGCTCCTGGGTGGCTTGGCCGGGTGCCGCAGGCCATGGTGGGCTGCGGTGGGCCCTGGGGGGCGGGGCCCGGGGCCTCCAGAGGAGGCCCCAGGTGGGACCGGCTCCTCCGGCCCCTGCCCCTGGGGTGGCCCCGGTGCCTGCAGGGACGGGGCTGGGGCAGAAGACTGGGGTGTCGCCGATGAGGCGGGAGCTGAGGGGCAGGGGCACCCCTGGGCCGAATCTCTCAGCGCCAACTCTCTGGGGGGTTCTGGGGCTGCGCCCTGTGGTGGGGGCCCAGGTGCCGGCTGGTCCGGCGTCTCCAGGCTGGTGGCCACTACGTGGGCCTCAGGGGCCTTCTTCCCACTGACGTCCCCGTCCAGCCAGCCTCTCCTCTCCTGTGGCATCTCGGCTGTCCCTGAGGACAGGGCAAGCATGTCCCTGTGAGCAGGAGGGAAGGACAGAGCACTCAGCAGGCTCCTCACACCCCTGCCCCATCCCACCCTGGCTCCTGGCCACACCTGCCACTCACCTGGCTGCAGCAGACGCTGGGGCGAGGACGATGGGTTTCAGGTGCGTGGCTGCAGAGGTGAACGCAGCTGGCAGCTCCAAGGCCCCCTCGCAGCAGGAGGGTTGGCTGGGCATGGTCCCCTGCATGGCCACAAGCCTGGTGTCCCCGCTGACCTGCACAAAGCCTGAGGATGAAGTTGGGGTGAGTGTGGGTGGGGGGCCACTCCCCACCACGTAGAGGCTGAGGTGGCCCCTCCAGCCCCAAGTGGGAGCTGTGTCCCCTCCCACAGGTCCCCAGGGGCCCGGGAGCCCTGGAGACACTGGGACTTCCGAACACAAGGGGAAAGGAGACTTCACAGTGAGAGACCTGAGCCCAGGGCGGCCGGAGCCGGGAGGGAGGCCAGGGGTGACGGGAAACCCAGGACGGGGGTGGGTGCTCCAGACGGGACACAGTGGGCTCTGCGGAGGGGACAGGGAGCAGGACAAGAACAGGGACGTGAAAGCGTGGCAGTGCTGGGGTGGGAGCCACCCACTCTGGCGGTTCAGACGGGAGGTAATTTGGGAGCAAGACTGGCCGGGGGTCCCGGTAGCGTCCAGATGCGGTGTCCACTCAAGCACTGGAGGCACTCTGTGGGACAGCGGCAGGGGCCTTGGGGGCAGGAAGGCTGGTCCCAGGGGACCCACCTGAGCTGGACGCGGGAGTAGGCGCTGCGCTGGGGTCTAGTTCAACCACCGAGAAAGCGTTTTGGAGGCTGATGGTCTCTTCCTCTTGGTAAACCTGGGCAGAAGGACACGGGGGCCCATGTTGGGATGACATGGGGCAGAGCGGCCACCGGCAGCCCTCTCCTGCCCATGCCGACGGAGCTGGGGCTGGTTCTCTTCAGAACAGGAGCCTCTGGGACACTGTTTCCCAAGTCAACAAGGGTTTGGTAGGTTTCTCGGGTGTGGGAGGGTGATGTCCTGTCCGAGACTCTGGGGGCGGTGTGAGCCTGCCTGCTGCCAGAGGGACCGTCACCACCTGATGTGGCCGGCCCGGGCGGCAGCCCAGGAAGCCAGCAGGCACATTTGTAAACGATGTGGCTACTTGAAGGTCAATGTGCATGCACCATGAGGTCTCCCCGCCCCCCACACTGGGTGAAAAGCACCCACACATGCCAGGCAGTCAGCAGAGGCCAGGGCGTGGAGCTGCTATTCAGGATGGTGGGAAAAGGCCGAGAAGAACGTATGTCAGTCAGCTGTCTGCCCTGAACTCCATACAGCTATACAATAAGCAATGAAAACAAGGGTGCTCCTGTCCAGGGCCCTGGGCAGACACAGGGTCTGCAGCTGTGCCCCGGGGATCTCGACTTACCTTACAGGTGGACGCCCTCAGGTGGGCTAAGATCTTCCTGCTGTCCATGCCGCGCTGAAGGAGGTAACTGCTGCATATCTGAAAGCAAGGACACAGGCCACACGTCCATCACGTGGCGGTGTGGGTGGCTGGGCACCGGCCCCACTTCACGCCAGGCTGGACACGGTCCATCAGCGCGTGCCATGGAAGACCTCGCAGGCGGCCCAGCCTCAGGTAGCCCGCGAGGAAATTCAGCATCCACGCACGCAGTGGCCATCCTCCTGGGATGTCCTCAACTGGGAGTAGAAACTGGACAGAAACGGCCACGGCCTCCCCACCCTGCCTTGCTGCCATCCACTTGCATGGAGGGGCAGGCTGCAGGCTGCCCGGAGCTCAGAGCTGGAGACAGAGGACACATGGCCTTCCTAGCCCGTCCCTCTGAAGACTACAAGAAAGGGTGACGGTACAGAACCATGGCAGAATTAGGGCAGAATCAATCAGCTCTCTCTCGCTCTCTCTCTTACATACCTCCTAGACTGCAGCCTAAAACAGACGAGAAAAATCCCGCAGGAAATTACAACGATCAGAATTGGTGACCTTGACCACAAGGCAGTGGCTGCCTGCAGGACAGATGCAGATGTGGCCTCGAGCCCACCAGGGCCTTAGGCAGGTGTCTGTCGCTGACCCTGCCTTTGCTGGAAGGGACACCGGCCACCCTGAGTCCGGCTGTGCGGTGTGCCCTGTGTGCTGCGGGGACGCTGGAAGCACAGCCAGCCCTTGGGCACTGGCTCTCCACAAGCTCACGCAGCTCACACTGGGGACAAAACGCCACCGACGAGATGTTCTGCTTTTCACTGGGCTACAGACAGTATTGAATGAGAGGACAAAGATTCTTTTTCTTAAGCCACCGTTTAAGGGACACTCAGAAATACCGCTGTCATTTCATAACAGGACCCACTGCCGGTGAGAACCACGGAAGAACCGGCCTGAACGCCCCATCCTGGCCCCAAGGCAGGCCCTGCAGGCTCCTGTCTGGAAAAGCTCAGGGCCGCAAAAAACTCACCCCCTGTTCCCTCCGGCACCCAGCACAGGCCCGGCCTCCCTTTCTGGGCTGACTGCCGCACGCCCTCCCTTATCGGCGTGGCGACGCGTGTGCGAGCCCTACAACCCAGGGGTCCTTCTCAACAACCTGGAGCTGCGCCTCTGAAGCAGTCGTCAGGACAGGCCTCCCTTGGAAGGGGGGTGAGCTTCCGTGGCTGCCAGCTGCAGACACAGCCGGCTCACCCTGGCTGCATTTTCACCTGAGCCCTGAAGCTCTCCGCCATGTCAGTAGTTACTGAGTAAGATCCGTTTCCACCTCTGACCCCAGACCTCATCCTCACCTGACAGAGCACCCAGGCCCACAGCCTCTCCTCCACCTGCCTGCACACGGCCTGTCCTTCCAGAAGGTCCCACGGCGGCCTGATCACTGAACCAACAGTGGGCCCTGCACTTGTCCAGCTCTAGTTGGCCACCTGGGAGGAGGGTCAGGACCCAGCGCCGCTGGCCCCAGCCCAGAGAGACCAGATGAGGAGGGACGGAGTTCCGGGGGGACTCTCTGCTCCTCTGTGGCAGGACCTAAGGAGTCGGCACTGGCCCCAGGACAACCTGTGCCCACTCTCTGGACAGGCAGTCTGGGGGGAATGCCGGGGTGGTGGACAGCAGAGGTCCCATGACACCGTCCACAACTGGACCCCAGGCCCTTCCCTGCCCAATGACAGCTTTTCCTGGAAACAAGAGGCCACATGCAGCTGCCCGCCCCTGTGGGCACTGCCCAGGCTCTGGGTGCAACCTGGTTACCTTGACAGCCTCGGCTGCGGACGGCCGCTCCTGGGCACTGCGTCTGGCCATGTGCAGGAGGAGGGTTTTGAGCCGGCGTGGCAGGGCCAGCTTGTGGTCTTGGGGGACGCTGAACTTGGCTGCCATCCACAGGACCGCGGCCACACAGTACACCGAGGCCTGGAAGGGAGAGAAGCCATCCTGCTCAGCGGACCTGCCGGGACCCCAGGTGTGTGTCGAACACGTGCCCACAGGTCTCAGACACTTAAGGGCCAACAGCCACGACCGAGGACTGCCGGACCTGCCGCCTTTCCTCTCCTCATGACGGTGAAGGCGGCAACGCAGGCGTCTGAGGCCAGGAGTCCCCTTCACCAGGGCTGCGCTAACTGGTTAACAACAGGCTCTCTGAACAGAAGCGCCTCTTGGACACATGTGTTTGTTCTAGGTCTGACTGATGTCAGGGGTGCTTGGCACACAGTTCAAAAGAATGAAAGGTAAAAAAATACATAAAGAATAAATAAAAGGAAGGGATAATTCTCTTTTTGTAAGCTCCATAGCCAACCGATTCTCACTGAACGCTTTGATTTCCACCCAACTCTGTACGCAGCAGGCGATTCCGACCACGTGTTGGCTGCTGTTTTCATTCATCTCAATACAAAAGATGAAAGGGAGACAAACGCAGCTAGAGCCTCGCTGGTTCTGAAGAGCATGCTCCCTCATCGGGCCGGCGTTGACGAGAGATGCTCCTCAGGCTTTAGAGCAGCTAGAGCAGGCACATCTGTGAGTCTAATCGCGTCATTAACACCTCCTCCGCCACCTCGTTAAGTCCAGACACCTGACAAAATGCCAGTCTAGCCCTGACTGTAGCAGTTGCTGAAGTCCATAGTGTGAGTGCCCATGCGGCCAGGTGGTGCTGTGAGCGCGGCCAGGTGATGCTGTGAGCGCGGCCAGGTGGCCTGTGAGTGTGGCCAGGTGACTGTGAGCGTGGCCAGGTGACTGTGAGCGCGGCCAGGTGACTGTGAGCACGGCCAGGTGCCTGTGAGCGCGGCCAGGTGGCGCTGTGAGTGCAGTGTGGCCATGAGCTGCAGAGGCACCCCATTCACTGTGCTGCTGCCAACCTAAGCAGAAAATAGTAAAACGAGCAGGAAATTATTCACTTTGAGTATTTATCAACCGTTCTAAAAAATTAAAGCTTTTATTTTGAGATAATTGTAGATCCACATACAGTTCTAAGAAATAACACAGAGAATCGTGGCATCCTGTGAAGCCTGCACATTGCAACCAGGACGTGGTCGCCGACCATCCAGACACAGGACGTGTCCTCTTCAGGATCAGGGTCTGCCCCTGCCCCAAGCCACGTGTTCTTGCCTTTCCCCTTAGTCCCCAGCAGCTACTCATGTTTCCATTTCTGTGGTCTTGTCATTTCATACATGGAGTTACACAGAACGTCACCTTTGGGGATTGGCGTCGTTACCTGGAGATCTATCCAGGTTGTCGCATTTTCTCCGTTCTTCCTGCTGCTGAGTAGCATCTGCGACGTGGCTGTAGCGCCGTGTTTAACCACTCACCCACTGATAGGCATCTGGTGGTTTCTGGTTTGGGGCGATTTATAATACAAATAAAGCTGTTATAGGCACCCATGGAGAAGGTGTCGTGTGAGCATTTCTCTAGGATAAATGTCTGGAAGTGCCACCTCTGGCTTGTATGGCAGTTGCATGTTTAGTTTTGTAAGAAACTGTCAAACTGTCTTCCGAGTGGCTGTGCCCTTTGAGCCAGCCCAGCAGTGAGGACAGCTACTCGCCGCGGGTGATGCTCAGGGCTCCGGCTTCCAGTCATTGTTCCAGGTGTGGAGTGGCACCGCGTTGTCTTAACTTGCATTTCCTAAATGCCACGTGATGTTCAGCATCTCTTCACATGCTTGTCTGCCATGATGTCTTCTTCGGCGAGGTGTCCATTCAGGTCTTTTGCCCCCTTTTTGATTGGGTTGTTTTCTTATTGTTGACTTTTAAGGGTTCCTCGTATATTTGGGATACAAGCACTTTAGCTGATGTGTGTTTTGCAAATATTTCCCCCCAGTCTGTGGCTTGTCGTCTCATTCTCTTAAACAGAATCTTTTGCAGAGCAGAAGTTTTAAGGAAATCTAACATTATTATTTTTTTCTTTCATGGATGATGCTTTTGGTGTTGTAGCCAAAAACTCATTGCCTAGATTTTCTCCTATGTTATTTTCTAGAAGTTTTATAGCTTTGCATTTTACATTTAAGTCTCTGATCAACTTTGAGTTAATGTTTGGGAAGGGTGTAAGGTCTGTGTCAAGGTTATTATTATCATCTTTCTGCACGGGGGCGTCCAGGAGGTCCAGCCCCATTCGTAGAAAACACTGTTCTTTCTCCATTGAGTTATCTTTGCTCCTTTGTCTAAGACCAGTTGATTCTCTTTGTGTGGGTTTATTTCTGGGCTCTCTATTTTGTTCCATCTTATGTATATTAACCTTCTACCCTGTGACCTTGCTGTAATTGCTTATTAGTTCCAGGAGGTTTCTGTTGATTCTTTGAGATTTTCTACTGAGGCAATCATGTCATCTGCAAAGACAGTTTTATTTCTTCCTTTCAATCTGTAAGCCTTTTATTCCCTTTTCTTGTCTTATTCCATTAGCTAGGACTTCCAGTACGATGTTGAATAGTTGTGAGAGGCCATCCTTGCCTTTTTCCCAATTTTAGGAAAAACATCTAGTTTCTCATAAGTAATTTTGTTACCTGTAGGTTTTTGGTAGATGTTGTCAAGTTGAGAAAGTTCTCCCCTATTCCTAGTTTGCTGAGAGCTTTTATTATAAATGGGTATTGAATTTTGTCAAAAACTTAGGCATTGATCGATATAATCATATAATTTTTGTTCTTTGGTCTACTGATGTGATGAATTACATTAATAGATTTTCAATTGCTGAGTCTGCCTTCCATATATGGAATAAATCCCACTTGTTCAGTTTTTAATTTTGATGAAGTTCAATTTAACCATTTTTTCCTTTTCTGGAAAAGTTTAGTGATTTTGGTGTGAAGTCTAAGGCCTCTTTGCCTAGCCCTGCACCATAAAGATTTTCTTTGATTTGTTTCATCAGCATTTTGTAGTTTTCATATAAGTCCTGTACATCCTTTGTTAGATTTACATCTAAGTATTTCATTTTTTTGAGTGATGTTAAATGTAACATATTTTAAATTTTGGTGTTCACATGTTCCTTGCAGTTATATGGAAATAAAATTTAATTTTGAATGTTTATTTTATATCCTGTGACCTTTCAGAACTCACTTATAAATCCTAGGAGTTTTCTTGGAATTTTCTGCACAGTAAACTGTGATCTGCAAATATCATCACCTCTTCCTTCTTGGCCTTTATGCTTTTTACTTGCTTTTCCTGCATTATTGTGGCTGGAACTTCCAGCACTATGGTGAACAGGAGTGGAGACAGTAAACGTCCTCGCCTTGTTCCCAGTCTTGGGGGAAAAGCATCTAGTCTCATACTGTTAAGTATGATGTTAGCTGGAGGGTTTTGTTTTTTTGTTTTTGTTTTTTTTAGATGCTCTTTTATTAAGTTGAGGAAGTTTCTTCTATGTTTCTGAGTTTTTAAAAATCAGGAATGGGTATTGAATTTTGTCAAGTGCTTTTTTCTGCATCAATTAATGTGAACATGGGACTTCCTCTTAAGCTGGTTAATATGTTAGACTACATGGGCCGGTGTTCAAATATTGAACCAGGCTTGTAGCCCTGGAATAACGCCCACTTTGTCATGGTACATAATTGTTTTTACATATTGCTGAATTCTATTTGCATACATTTTGTTGAGGATTTTTGCCTTTATATTCATGAGGGATATTGGTCTATGCATATATATATTTGTCCTTGTTTGGTTGTGTTGTCAGGGTAATATTAGTTTCATAAAATAGATTGGGATGCGTTCTCTCCTCTTCTGTTTTGTGGAAGAGGTTGTGTAGAATTGGTGTAAATTCTTCTTTAAACATTGAGTAGAACTCTCCAGTGAAACCATTTGGACCTAGATTTTTTTCTGAGAGTTTTAAAATTACAAATTCAATTTCCTTAATAGTTACAAGGCTGTTTCACACTGGATGCGTTGTGGAAGTTTATGTTTCTGAAGTCGGTCCGTTCCATCTACGTGTTCGAGTCTGTGCGTGCTACTCCATCATTATTCTTTTGATGTCGCAGTGTCTGCAGGAGCACCGTGCCATTCCTGATGTTGCAATTACGTCTCCTTTTGCTCTGTCAGTTTTGCTCAAAGTTTGTTTACTTTGTTGGTCTCTCCTGTCACTTGTTTCCTTTACTGTCTCGTGTTCATTTCATGGATTTCCACCCTCATCTATTATTTCCTTCCATCTGCTCTGGAGCTATCTTGCTCTCTTTTTTTAGGGTTTGGAGGTGGAGCTTAGATAACTGAGTTGAGACTTTACTTCTTTTCACATACATATATATATATATATATATATGTATATATGTATGTATGCATTTAGTGCTAGGAGTTTTCCTCTTGGCGCTGCATTAGCTGTGAACCACAAGTGTCAGTGTCGGCACCTATCGACTGCCTTCTCCACTCAGTATAAGACCGTCCTGGTTCTGGGTACGGCAGGTGGTTTTTGATAGAAACCTGGGCCTTTTCATGTTACAACTCTGGCTCTTATCTGGTCTGTTTTAGCTGGTGTTCTCTGACACCACTCTGGCAGGAAGAGGGGGCACCACCTCAGTATTGCCAAGTTGGGGCAGAAGTCCGGGTTCCCCTCTTGGCCCCACTGACACCCAGGAAGGGGCTCCTCTTCACTGCTGATGGGGTGGGACTTGCAGCTCCCCAGGGACTTCCACTCACACCGTGGGGTGAGGGTGGCCTCATGAGTGCTGGGTGGTGGGCCTCCCGCCCCACCCCAGCCAGAGCTGCTCGTTACTGAGGGGTAGATACCTTTTCCGTCACCAGCTTTTGCTCTGCAACCTCGGGAGCCACGAAGAAGTTGTTGTAAGTGCCTGAGAGAGAGAAGAGCAAAAGCCCAGCTGAGTTCTCCTTTCTGTGGTCGGCCGGCAACGCTGCAACACAGCCCGAGAGGAAGCCCACGCCGCGTACCCACCATTGACAGGGGGCAGCTCGAAGAGCACAGTCCCGTCCTCAGCCACCAGCACGGAGTCCGGACACAGGTAGGCTGCAACAGAAGGCGAGGTCAGGGTGGCCAGGCTCATTGGGGACCCTGCTCTCCCAGAGGCCTGCAGGATACAGTCAGTGGGGCAGGCCCCCTCAGCCACCCCAAGGTCCCCAGGTCATCCAGGGGACGCCAGGACACCGGGTCCCTCGCTGGACACAGTGCAGGGGCCAGGTCACTGGCTTAGCTCCTCCCCTTCCCAGAGGCCCCGGCAGACAGCCTGGGGGACAGGGCTTGGGGGACCCCCTGAGACACCCCTCCCGCCCCAGAGCTGCCTCACAGCAGCTGGGGACACAAAAAGCAGGAAACAAAAAGGAGCTGATGGAGGGGGGCAGGGAGGACAAGGCCCCCACGTGGGGGCTCTGGGAGGGGGGCCAGGAGGAGGCGGGGCCAGCCTGACTGTACCCCAAAGGTCTGCAGGTCACGGGACCTGAGGGCAGGCAGATGGCAGGGTTTCTCCTCACCCCTACCCATGACGTGCTAATACCAGGGGGGCCGTGGACCTGTCACACCGCTTGGTAGGGATGAACTTTGGGGGGCCACAAAGCAGTGTACTCCGCATAAGGTCCCCCTAGCCAACTTTCACCTCCTTGGGGATAATGTCACCCCCAATGAGAGGGGTCAGCAGGGTCACCTGCATATGCCCACCTTTTAAGCCTCTGCCCCCTGCTGCCCCGACACCCCCTTGGTGCTGAGTCCAGAGCAGATGCCCCCAGGGGGGCCCCGGTTCACAGTGTGGACACTGCCGCCCACGCGGGCTGAATAAGGAACTGCAGAAGAAAGTGTCACCTGGGTGCTGGCGGTGCGTGCGCAGGGTGCTGAGGCAGGCGTGGGACAGCGCCCACAGCTCGTACTCCCTGAAGGGCCGGCCCAGCTTTGACAAGAGGTCCTGCAGGGAGACGCCCTGGGGAGAGGCCACGTGCAGTGAGGAGGCGACGGGCAGGGGGCTGGGCCTCCCCGCTACGCCTCCCGACAAAACGGCTGGGAAACGTGCCCAAACCAAGCAGCGCGTGCTGGGGGCACCTGGAGAGGTCGGAACCCTGTGCGCTGAGGGCGGGATGTGACACGGGGTGGCCGCGGGAAAGCCGTGTGGTGACCTCAGAAAACCCCACACAGAGCCACTAGGGGACCAGCACTCCCTTCTGGGCGTTTGTCCAGGACAACGGAAGGCAGGGCCTCGGACAGGCGCTCGCACCCACGTCCACAGCAGCACGAGTCCCATGGCCAAGACTTGGAAGCAAGTGTCCGTGGAGGGGCGAACGGGTAACGGGAGTGTGGCGCATGACGCGGCCTTCAAAAGGAGGGACATTGTGACAGGTCACCACACAGATGGACCCGGGGACGTGGCGCTCAGTGAGGCGATCCACACGCAAAGGCTGGGATGGGGAGGTGAGTGAGCCCAGGGCTCCGGCACATGAGGTCTTCCTGCCGTGGGGCTTGCGCCACCCTGGAGACGCGCTGGTGGGCACAGTGCGGGCTGACACGCGTGTGTGCACCAGCATGTCAGCACGCTGGGGTCTGTGGGACCGACTTTGGTTCTACAGTTACCACATTTTCATGTAAATTACCCTCAGGTGCTTGTCAGGATGTGAATCAAAAGGCGAATCACAGACTGCACCCCGGTCCTTGGGTCAACAAAGCCTCCTGGGTAATGAGGGTCTTGGTGCCTCACCGTTGGCCGTGGTGCTGGGCCCGGGCGCTGCCCCTAGACATGCTGTGTGGCTCACGGGGCCACAGTGCTTCAGGGAGCGACTTGCTGGGGGCCACACAGCAGAGCTCGGCCAGCTGGGCCCAGGGCTCTCAGCCCACACAGGGCCACTCAGAGCTCACGGGGATGCTAAGCACACCCCAAACTCCCAGGACACGGTTCCAGCAGAGCCCCTGTTCCTCACTGCAGCCCTAGAAGAGCCCATCCTGACCTGGGGAGATCCTGCCCTGGCCTGAGGACACCCTGTCCTGGCCCCCAGGTAGACCCCTCTCTGGCCACAGGGCCACGCAGAACACGGGGTCACCGACCTGCTCCACGGCTGCACTTTCCGGCTCTCCAGCTCCTCCTGGAATCCGTTCTTCAGCCCCGAATCTCCCGGAGTCTCGGCCAGCATCTTGAAGGTGTTCAGAATGGGGTGGGGGGCTTCCCTCCACAGGGCCCTGGCCGGGCACCCCAGTGGCCCCGTCCCCACTGTGGCCCACGCTTTGAGGCCCTTCCCGCGGGAGCTCAGGCTCCGGCTCCTGCCACAGCCTGGACCTGGGCGGGGCCTTGAAGCCGAAAAGTCCATTTTTCCCCTCAGGAAAGGCCTTCCTGGGGTCTGGAGGGAAGAATTTGGAAGTGGGCAACTGGTTTTTCACAGTGGTCAGCGACAGGCAGAGGGTGCTGGCCTCAGGGCCTTCGGGCAGGAGCCTGGGGACCGTCTGCACTTTCCTCAGGCGGCCCCTCTCCACGGGGCGTGGGGCATCCAGGAAAAGGCTGGCCAGCCCCTCCAGGCTGGAACTCTCGCCGTTTTTCACAGGGGCTGACAGCAGAGACTTGGAAGTTGGGGTCCTGGGGTGCTCTGGGCCTTTGGGGGCAGGAGGGGCCTCTGCATCAGCGCTGTACCCAGGCTGCCTCTTGGGCCCCACACTTCTTGGAGCAAGTCTCCCCCTCCAGGCGCTGTCACTGACATCTGGGCAAAAGCAGGGGGCCATCAATGCTACTGCCCGGATGGGAGCCCAGCCCAGGAGGGCCCCCTCTGCAACAGTCCCACCCCCCCCCACCCCGCCAGGCCACCCTGAACCCAGCTCCTGCAGGCCCCCTGGCCCCCACCCTCAGGTCCTCCCAGGTCCTATGCTCCCAGCACCCCCTCTTCCCCCAGTTCCAGCCCAGAAACATCCTCTCTTCCCTCTTTAATCACATCATCCTGTCTAATGAACAGAGGCCGCCAGATCCCCTGGGGCCAGGCCAGGCTTCCCACAGGGGCTCCTCAGGCCCGTCTAATTATCTCATCCAAAAAGCACATCGTTTTCTGTTATGAGGACACAAGTGAGGCTCCCCACAGGAAGAAATTAAATCTGGCGGCAGCCACCGCACAGTCTCATGTGAACCGCCCCTGACACCTCCCGCGGGGCCTCTGTCCCTGCTGTTGTCAGAGCCACCCCCGTGGTCACAAACACTGCTGCCACCTGCAGGATCCCACATGCCCCTCCTGAGGCCCCTCCAGGCACAGTGCAAGCAGACCTGGCATTTGTTCAAAATGCCATCTGAGACTGCGCCCGAGTCCCATGTGAGCTGTGAAAATCCAGACGCGACAGCAACAGCTTGTACGGTGGGGAAGTGCCAGCCAGACATGGTGTGGTGTTGGCAGAAACAGCCTGGTGTAGTGCTGCCCTGTGTGCGTGCCGAAACGCTCACCAGACCAAGGCAGGCGCCTGGCCCAGTCTCAGCTGTTTCGCAACATGACCTCTAACTGCATGGGGGTCTGCAGAGCATGACAGTCTGATGCATATGCGCGTGCAAGTGTGTGCGCGGACGCAGTGGGAATTTGTGTGCACATTTGTATGCATGTTTGGTGTGTGTGAGTGTGGGTGTGTGCTTGCTGTGAGTTATAGTATAAATAGGTGTGTGCGCGTTTGCACATGTGTACGTGTGTGGCGGGGGAATGTGCGGGTGAGTGGGTTTTTACATGGCATGTGAGTGCACTGGTGTGATGTGTGTAATCAGTGTTAATGTTTGTGCACGCACGTGTGCACATGCGTGGGTGTGCGCATGCGTGAACGCGTGTGCGCGCTCACCTGGGAAGGCTCCAAAGGACTCGATGGACAGCACCCTTCTCCCCACGGCTGAGAGGCTGCGGCACAGGCGGCAGGACGACGGCACCTTCTCCTCGCACAGCGCAATGACGCTCTGCACACAAGGGCGGCCCCTCAGATGTGAGCGTGCCCCGCCCGGGGAGCCTGCCCCCCCCCCCATGCCCATTTCCTGAATAAAAAAGCGATGCGTTTTGGGATTACACAAAACCAGGAGCCTCTGATTAGCCCATCAGAACTAGAAGCCAAAACTCTTAACAAAACGTATAAAAAAATCAAATTCTTATTTAAACAAAATGCAATACCACCAAGCCGCAGGCAGAGCCTGTGTGCAGGGGACAGGAGGAGCCGTGTGCGTGCACATGTGCATCTGCGTGCACAGGTATGCATATGTAAATATGTGCATGCGTGTACGTTTACGTGTGTGCATTTGTGCACGTGTGCGGCTCCAGGGAGGGTCTCAGGTCTCAGCCTCTGGGCTGAAGTCAGGGGGACGCCCGCCATTACCTCGAGGTCTGGCCGGTCCCCCGGGTCCTCCGCCTGCATCTGGCGCAGCAGCAGCTCCAGGTCCTGGCTCAGCCTGGGTTCCGGCTCCGCCACGTACTCGAGGGCCGCCTTCAGCGTGGCCCCCAGAGAGTAGATGTGAGCCTGTAGCACCAAACAGCCCGTTAGTGCTGTGGGGCACGCGTGTTCCTGTGCCCCCACGGCCACCGCTCGTCCGCTGGGAACATACGTTTTTGGGGACCACACCTGGTCTTTACAAAAGCCGGTGCCAGCATGGCCAAGGCAGCACCTCCCCCACGGCGGTGGCTGTCCTGGCACCGAGCCAGGCGCCCAGGCTCTCTGGTCTGGGGTCCGCAGTGGCCCAGGAGCATCAGCCAGCGCCCCGGGAGCCCCTCCGGCTTCCCGCTCGACCCAGCCCCACCCGAGCACCGAGCCTCCGCACACAGGCTCTGCGACACCCTCCTGCCACTGGTCACTGGGCCGAGGTCCTCCTCCCCGGACCCATCTCTCCATCTCAGCTGCAGGGCACGTGAGGTCCACCTCCCCCACGCCCGCCCCACGCAGCAGGTCCCTATGTTTTGCTGCTGTGACCAGGGCTTCACTGGGCGTCCTCGTGAGGAGTCTCCGTGCATTCACGTCACGTTCCAGCAGCAGGGTCACCGGGTCCCGGGTTCCATCCATTGACAATCTTGACAGCTGCTGACAAACTTCTGAAATGACCAGCGGATTTAAACCTGCATTTCTATAATTATGATTGAGACTGAGCATCCGTTCATCTCGAATCATCGTTTTAAGTTTTTCCTCTTTATGCCCATTCGTGGACTTTGCTAATTCCTCTGGGTTGTGCCTCTTGGGTTCACTCGTGGCACATCAGGAGGCTGCCCCTGTCCTGTGTGTCACATGTGTTCTTTCTGTCACTTGTCTTTTAACTTTGTTCATGTGTCTTTTGCCATTCAGAAATCATAATGTTTAATTTGGAAAATCAGATTTTTTTTTTCTTTAGCAGCTTCTTAGGAGGATCTTCCTTACCTTGAGATGATAAAAAACAGCTTTCTTGTAATATTTTCCTAATGCAAACACCTGGCTCTAATCCCTTTGAAATCGGTCTGCTTTGAAATCAAGGCACCTGGCTTTGTTTTCCTGCTACTGGAGAGCAGCCTCCCAGGACTGACGAAGACGTACCTGCTGCCCCTGAGCCGCGTGCACTGCTCTCAGCTCCCAGGGAGCAGGCACAGGCCAGCCTCTCCCGTTACACTGGGCTGTGTGTCTCTCCCTCTGTCCAGACAGTGCTGTTTTAATTATAGCAGTTTCAGAGTATATTTTCATATCTGGAGGACAAGTTGATCTTTTTTTCCCCCAAAAAATTTCTTTTCTTTTTTTAAAAAAGATTTTATTGGGGAATTGGGGGAGGGGAATAGTGTTGGGGAGTTGGGGAACATCCAAATTGTTGTTCTTCAATCTTAGTTGTCAAAGGCGCAGCTAGCTCAGCTCCAAGTCCAGTCACCATCCGGCCACCAGTTGGCAGCTCGTGAACGCTCAGCTCAAGGTGCCATGTTCAATCTTAGTTGTGGATGGGCGCAGCCCACCATCCCATGTGGGAGTCAAACCGACAACCTTGTTGTTAGAGCACGTGCTCTCACCAGCTGAGCCATCCTGCCACCTGTTGGCAGCTCAGTGGCAGCTCAGCTCTGGAGCAGCTCACTGGCCCATGTGGAAATCGAACTGGCAACTCTGTTGCTCAGAGCTCGTGCTCTTAACCAACTGGGCCACTCGGCTGGCCCTCAAAAAGTTTCTTTATTTTCACATTTGCCAGGTTTAAAAAAACAAATACATGTTCCCCCATTTTCATTGAAAAAAACCAAAACAACAAAAAAACCAAAAAATGGCTGGGATTTTATTGTAACTGCACTGATTTTGCAGAATTTAGGAAGGACTAATGTTTCATAAAATAAAATACTTGGCACATCAGCAAGATGTCTGAATAGGACGTCCCTAGATAGTACCCCCTTTAACAACAATTTGGCATCTATCCATGGACCAGAGGACCCTGGTGGTTGCCGTGGGACCCAGCACCACACGGCAAGGGACCTGGCAGGCGTCTCGTCCACCTGTGCGTCAGGCAATAGGCAGACAGACCTCGGTCCCGGCGGTGGGCCCTTTAGCCAGACTAGGGAGAAAAGAAGACTCAAGTAAAATCAGAAATAAAAGAGGAGACATTACAACCAATACCACAGAAATACAAAGGATAATGAGAGATTATTATGAACAGTTATACGGCAGCAAACTTGACAACCTAGAAAAAAATAAATTCCTAGAAACATACAACCTACCAAGACTGAATCACAAAGAAACAGAAAATATGAATAGACTTTTACTAGTAAGGAGATTGAGTCAGTAATCAAAAACCTCCCAACAACAAAAATGAGCCTAAGACCAGATGGCTTCACTGATGAATTCTACCAAACACTTAAAGAAGAATTAATACCAGTCCTTCTTAAATTCTTCCTAAAAATTGAAGAGGAGGGAATACTTCCAAACTCACTTTATGAGGTCAGCATCATGCCAGATGCTGGATGTCACAAGAAAAGAAAACTACAGACCAATATCCCCGATGACTATAAATGTAAAAATTCTCAACATAATATTAGCAAACTGAGTTCAAGTGTACATTAAAAGAATCATACACCATGGTCAGCTGGGATTTATCACTGGGATGCAAGGATGGTTCAATATCCACAAATCAATCAACTTGATATGTCACATTAACAGAACAAAGGATAAAAATCATACAATCATCTCAGTTGATGCAGAAAAGCACCTGACAACATTCAACATCCTTTCATGATAAAAACTCTCAACAAATTGAGTACAGATGGAATGTACCTCAACATACTAAAGGTCACAGATGACATACCACAGCACACACCATCCTTGATGGTGAAAGGTTGGCAGCTTTTCCTTTACTATCAGAAACAAGACAAGGATGTCCACTCTCACCACTCCTAAACACAGTCCTGGGAGTCCTAGCCACAGCAGTCAGGCGAGAAAAAGAAATAAAAGGCATCAAACCAGAAGGGAAGAAGGAAAATTGTCTCTATTTGCAGACAATATGACCTTATACATAGAAAATCTTAGATTCCACCAAAAACCTGTTAGCACTAATTGCTGGATTTAGTAAAACTTCAGGATACAAAATCAGCATACAAAAATCTGTTGCATTTCTATACACTAATAACAAATATCAGAAAGAAAAATTAAGAAAACAATCTTGTTTACTTATTTACAATTCCATCTACACATTAAAATCCCCAGGAATCAATTTAACCAAGGGGGTGAAATACCTGTATGCTGAAAAGTATAAGACTTTGAGGAAAGAAATTGAAGAAGACACAAATAGAAAGATACCCCGTGTTCATGGATCAGAAGAATTAATATTGGTAAAATGTTCATTCTACCCAAGACACCTATAGATTGAATGCAATCCCTAGCAAAATTCCTGTGGCATTTTTCATAGAAACAGAAAAAACATTCCTAAAATTCATATGGAACCACAAAAGACCCCAAATAGTCAAAGCAATCCTGAGTGAGCTGGAGGCATCACACCTCCTTATTTCCAACGATATTGCAAGCTATTGCAATCAAAATAGTGTGGTGCTGGCATAAAAACAGACACACATCAGTGGAACAGAATTGAGAGCCCAGAAATAAACCTTACATATAAGGTCAACTAATGGTCGACAAGGGAGCGAATAACACTCAATTGGAAAAAGATGGTGTCTTCAATAAATGATGCTAGGGACACTGGATAATCACATGCAGAAGGAAATTAGACCCCAATCTTATACCACTCACAAAAATGAACTCAAAATGGATTAAAGACTTAAATATCAGACCTGAAACTGTGAAACTTCTCGGAGAGGACAAAGGGAACGCTCAGGCTCCTTGTCGTGGGTCTTTGGCAATGATTCTTTGGATAAGTCACCAAAAGCACAAGCAAAAAAAAAAAAAACCAGTGAGGCTACACCAAACTAAGCTTCTGTGCAGCAAAGGAAACAACAAAGTGAAAAGACAACCTACAGAAAGGGAGAAAATATCTGTAAACCATGTATCTCATAGGGGGTTAATATCCCCAAAATGTAAGGGACTTACACAACTCAAAAAAACCCTGATCTGATTAAAAAAAAACAAAAAAACAAACCCCGATCTGATTAAAAATGGGCAGAGGAATGGAACAGACATTTTCCCAAAGAAGACATACAAATAGCCAACAGGTATGAGAAAAGATGCTCACCGTCACTAATCATCAGGGACACGCAAATTAAAACCACAGTGAGTTGGGCCGGCCGAGTGGCGCGTTGGTTAAGAACTGGCTTGGGACGCCAGAGGGCCCCGGTTCGGATCCCACGTATGAGGGCCAGTGACACTGCCCTCCACAGCTAAGATGCTGAACAACAGCTCAACCTGGAGCTGGGCTGCCGTGAGTCGCTGGCAACGGCGTGGGCTGCAGCCCCTGCTGCAGTGGGTTACCATGGGCTACCGTGTGTAGCCAGCAGCCAGCGTGAGCGGCCAGCAGCCGCCGTGAGCAGCCGTCCAGGAACAGGCGACTGATCTGCCTCACCCGGGAAGAGCACAATGATGGTGCCAACTTGGGCCAGTGAAGCAACGTCCTCCACAACTAGACTGAAGAACAAAATGACAGCAACTTGTCTGTTCCCCTTCCCCTAATTCCCCAGCACTGTTCCCATCCCCCCAATTCCCCAATAAAAATCTTTAAAAAAAAAAAAACACAGTGAGTCGCCACCTCACACCTGTCAGGACGGCCATCACCACATAGACAAGCACTGATGAGTCCTGGGAGGACGTGGAGAAAGGGGCCCTCGTGCACTGCTGGGGGGGGGATGTAAACTGGTGCAGCCGCTATGGAAGACAGTATGGAGGGTCCTCAAAAAATTAAGACTGGAGCTACCTTAGGACCCAGCAGTCGCACTTCTGGGCATTTATCCAGAGGAAACGAAGAGATGTCTGCGCTCTCGTGTTCACTGCATTAGTCACAGTAGCCGAGACATGGAAAGAACCCAAGTGTCTGTCTTCGGACGAATGGCTAGAGAAACATGGTGTAGAGACACAGGGGATATTATTTCGCCTCGAGGATGGAGGATGGCCCTGGAGGGCATTGTGCTCGGTGAGATAAGTCAGAGAAAGACAGAGCCCATATGCTGCCACATAGATGTGGGATCTGGAAAAGCCAAACTCACAGAAACAAAGAGTAGAATGGAGGTTGCCAGGGGCCGGGGGGAGTAAATGGGGTGACGCTGTTCAAAGGGCCAGATGAGTAAGTCCCTGCATGTCACGGACAGGATGCTGACAGCCGTGAGCAATACTGTTATCAACTTGGAAGTCGCCAGGAGTGTCGATCTGAAATGTTCTCACAACCGATCATGTAAGTAGGTGACGGAGGCACGAACCCTACTATGAGCAGGTCGTTTCACAGTAAACGTGTGTCAGACCATCAGGCTGTACCTTACGTTTACACAGTGTCACGTGTCAGTTATGTCTCAGTAAAGCTGGAAAAACCTCTGCGTGTGGGGACACAGAGCGTCGCCTTGTTCTGCACCGTGAGCACGCGGCTCACTCCATGTTTCCAGCCTTCCTGCTGCACTCAGTCCGGGGCTTCCCACCGTGGTCGCGGTTACACTTCATCTCCAGCTGGTAATTACCAGCGCGAAGAAGAGCTGTTTCTTGTTTTTGGATGCATCTTGTCTCCAGCTGACCCTGGAGCCTTTTCCTGTCGTTGCTCACGGAAGCCTCTTAGGTTCCAGGCCTGCAAACCTGTCACCTGCGGACGCTGTGATTGTGCACCCACCGCACACTGCTCAGCGCTGGTGACCCGCAGCCCGCTCAGGCCCCGTGAACATGGGTGAACCGCACCGACGGCCCCTGAGCTGCTACCCCACCCCTCACGGAAGACATGGGAACCCCCAGCCCTGTCCCCACACGGAGGGCAGCCTGCTCTCTCCTCTCACCACTGACCATGCCTGTCACACTGAGTCCCTTGCCTGGGTCCCCACACAGCCAGCGTCCAGGGCTTCCTGAAGGGGCCAAAATTAAGTCAAGCTGCTGCAGATGCCTAGTTTTGGGGGACCTGCTGGGGGTGGGAGAAAAGGCAGGCCCCAAGAGCCCCAGCCAGGGCTCTGAGCCGTGAGTCCCACACTGAGGACCCCAGCAATTCATGGCCCTGAATAAGAGACCGGCCTCGATCCAGTCCACCCTGCTCCACTTTGGGTCTCAAGTTAAACCTCACTTTCTTTTTATTTTATTTTATTTTTAATTTTTTTTTTAAACCTCACTTTCTTGAAGAGGCTCCTGGGCCTTTCGATCCAGACGAAGCCCCTGTTCCTCACAAGGCCCCACCCCCTCAGCCCAGCCCACTGCCAACGTCAAGGCAGTCCCGTGTAGACCATGGCCCCCCCGAGGCAGGACGCCGCCTGCTCTGGCACGGCGAGCCCGACACAGTGCGTGCGTGTTTGTGGATAAGTGACGAGCCAGCAGCACAGTGGGTGACGGGTGCCACGGTCGTCCCGGCCGGGCCCTGCTGGAGCCCAGCACGCTCAGGGTGACAAGGTCAGAGAGAAGCGGGGGGAGGCTGTGGCTGGGCCAGCCTGGAATGCTGGTCATGGGCCACATGTGTAGCTCTAGGAAAGTGGGCCACTGCTGGCGCTCCCTAAGCAAGGAGTAAGGCGTGCAGGGGACAGTCCTAGGAGGACCAGCTGCCGTGTCTGTGGATGCAGGAGCCCAAGGCACCAACCCTCGGGGGAGGGGAGGTGGGAAGGACACGGCCCAGGAGGGTGGCTGGATGGCGCCTGGAGCACACGGAGAGTTCGGTGTGGGGCACGGACACAAGGCCAGGTTGGCGGGGAGGTGGCTGGTGTGCGGCCGTGTGAATACTGGTCGCTAACGGACAGGAGGACGCACAATGGGCAGAGGGGCGGGCTCAGCCTGGACCAACCACCACGGGCTAACCTCCCACACCTGTGACGGCCCCGAGACCGGAGGCCTGAGCTGGAGGCGCCTTGGTGTCCACAGCAGCAGCAGCTGTCCCTGCCGGCGTGCTGGAGTGGCAGTAGCTCCAAGAAGGCACCCGGTTCCCTTGGTCCCCGAGCCACAGGCCAGCACGGGCCCTGAGCAGTATGATGGGCCCACGGGAGACCTGGGGTCTCCACAGCGCAGCAGTCGCCAGTAAGCGAACGAGGCCCAGAGCTGCTTCTGCACCAGCCTGGCCGGCGGGCGTGCAGCACAGGCTGCACTGCGAGGGGTCTGCCCCACCACGTGGTCACGCCGGCCCTGGGTGCAGCCCAGCAGGACCCTGGGCACCTCAGCTCCCCCAGCGGGCGGGTGAACGGCACTGTTTTGCCTGGGGCCGTGCAGGTGAGTCCCAGCAAAACGTATGAAAGGGAGTCGCAGAACATGCCATGCAGCATGACACTCTTCAGAAAGTTAAAAACCAGCACAAATGGAATCGTATTGCTTTTAGGAATCCATAATAGTGAGAGAGGGCAAAGAACGCAGAGGGGTGGGGCTGGTCACCACGGACAGGCTGGGGCAGGGGTGGGGGGGGCTTGGTGCTGGGCGCCCTTGCCAAGCGTGCAAACAGGTCAGAAGTCCCGCCGAGCCGGGGAGGGGAGCTGCACACGCCGAGGACCAGGAGGACGACAGGGGTCCAGAGTCACCTAAAACCCGACAGGGGGGCCCAGTGGCGTCGCAGGGGCCGGGTCCTGCGCTCCACGGGGCTGCACCCGGCCTCTCAGGGCAGGAAACCCAGGACTGGCGTATTTTAAAGTAAAATTACGCCTAGGAGGGGCCTATCCTAAACTCTGGTCAACAAGGTAAAAATGTAACCTCACGTCGCTAAGCTAAGGAATGGGCTTCCACTGGGAAGATTTTCGAGTTCGTAATTCCTTGTTTATTTACTAATAATAGGTTTACTTTTCTCCATCTTAGGGGACTGTGGGCGCCACTAAGATAGAAACTATGAACGGACCGTGCTCCGCTGTGGGCCAGAGCCCAGCATGGCCCCCGATGGATGGACAAACAGCCTGTGCAGGGGTCCCCACCCCCGCTCACGTCCCCCTGCCATGCTGGCACCTGTCGCTTGTGCTGCCTGTCGCTCTGGCACCTCGTCAGCCCGTGTGTGGCTGCTGCTCACGTGCCTGAGCCACTCTCCAGAGGCCACGCATCGATCACCCCAGAGGCTGCGGCCCACCTGCCAGGCCTCAGAGGAGGACAATTCCCGCCAGCCACCACCGGTAGGTAACGTGAGGCTGCTTCAACATGTTAAATGTGGTAAATTCGTGCTCTAGAAAACTTACTACTGTGGTGACAACCATGCGTCCAAAAACAAGCTGTCACTGGGGCCCCAGCTGTCCGTGGGGGACCTCACATCTGACAAGAGTGGGTGTGCAGCCACGGCAGCTGGCTCGGCAGGCCCAACGCTCCGGGACGCCCACGCAGGTCCCGTGTCCACGGCATGACACCTGCTGCCACTCACCTCAAAGGTGTTCCCAGTCACATCAAACTCCGGGGGGACGAAGGCTCCCTCGGGGTCATCTGGAAAAGGCACAGAGAAGACACTCTGATCACAGGCCCTGAGCTCTCCAGGGCAGACTCCTGCCTCCTGCCCTCCACGTCCCCGCCTCCCTGAGGTGAGAAAGCTCTGCCTTCACCACAAGTGGGGACCCCGGTGGCTCCAACGGGGAGAGCTGCAGGCACCCAGCCAGGGCCACTCCCACCTTGTCCCCACTCAGTGCCGCCTGGGGCTGGAGAGCCCATCAGCTGACCACGGAAGCCAGGCTCCGTGGCCCGTGGCAGCTGCTCACGCCCACCCCGCAGGCGCCTTCCCGGCCCCTCCCTGGGCCTCACCGCTGAGCTGCTCCATGAAGCACACGTTCCCGCTGGTGTTGAAAGCCAGCGTGTCCGGCGTGATGCAGAGCGTGTGGAAGATAGCCGAGTGCGCGACGCTGCGCATGGACAGGCTGCACTCCAGGCACACCGCCCAGGCCTCCTGCTCGCTGAGGCCGCTGTCCCGCAGGGAGAGGATGTCGGCCAGGGACACGTTCTCCTGCCAGCACAGGCCTCGCTGACTAATGGGGTCTGCGGACAGGCCCTGCTGCCCACAGGCCCCTCTCCAGAAGGCCCAGCCCCCAAAGGCCGGACCAACTCTCAGCCGCAGACAACATGCGACAGCATTTCACTCTCTGTCAGGAGTGAGGCCCTGACCAGACCTTCTTTAAAAAGCACTAGAGAGCCATCCTGCTGTTTCCCGGGTGTCAGAAGCCACAGAGCATCTAGGGAGGTGTCCATGCCTGCAGCCGTGACCTGGGCCTCGTCCCATGGCCCCCAAGAGTGGAGACACCCCTACCACAGGCTCACATACGGCTCGCGGCATGTGGAGCTGCTTGGTGTGGGCTGTGGGGACAGAGTCCACGCCCAGGAAGGTGCAGGTGAGAGCGGGGAGCCGTGGACGCAGCTGATGGCATAAGCGGGCACTTCACACGGAGACAGTCACTGGCTCTTGCACAGCTGCCCCCATGTGTCCCATGCAGGCCACCCTCCAGATCTGGCTCTGTGAGAACGCGCTGTGCTCATGTCACTAACACGCATGTGTACACACATAACACACACTGACACACACCAACATGTACATGCACGCACGCAAGCACGCACACGACACGCTTACTCACACAGATGCACACACTCCTGGCCCACAGCATGGCTCCCCCGCCCTCCCCAGAGGCCCCCACACCTATTCATGGCGGGAGCCCCTCAACAGGCACATTCTCTGTATAGTTTATGGGGTGGCTTCCACGGGTCCTGAGTCATCGCTTCCGTGCGATGAGGCCTCCTCTTACTGCCCGATGGTCTCAGCCCCCCTGAACCCTGCTGCTGCAAGAGGGAGGCGAGACTCTGCCGCAGGGTGGACAGAGCCGAGTGACCCTGCTGCTCCCTGGAGGGGAGGTCTCGCTGCGTGCTGAGAGTCCTGAGCCCTGGGGCCCAGGGGCACCTGCCCTCACGGTCCTGCCTGCTCTGGCCCAGGCGGGAGGAAGGCCCCTCCCTTGCCTGAATCCACAGCCCGAGTGGGGCAGGCGGGAGTGTTGGTCGTCCTTGGCTAACGGGCCAGGGACAAGGACAGAGTGAGGCTGGGCTGCGGGCGTCAGCCGCCCACCAGATCCCAGTGGGCGCCCCTCATGAACACCCTGACAGACAGGAGCCACGGGGGTGTCCTGCACGACACAGAGCTCAGTCACTGCTGAGAAGGTCTGCTGACCTCCTAGGCCTGCCGAGAGGCCTCTCCAGCTGCCAGACCCCAGGGCTGGGGGGCTCCGTGCCACCCCTGTTGGGGGTCTGCCTGCTTGCCCCAAGGAGTCCCCCAATTCATAACTATCACCCCCTAAAACTCTGCTTGGGTCTGCAGCTGCCTGCTTCTCTGAGCTCGTTTTGGCACAGACGTCCCATGGATTCTGTAGGGCACAGTGGGACTGTCCCTCCTTCATAGGGCACCCCCGCCATGGGCTCCTCTAGGCAGGGACAGGTCCCCACCCGCGTTCGAGTCTCCGAGCCCAGCCCAGCACTTGGCCTACAGCTGCTGGGAGGTTCTGGATGAACTCCCAAGGGGTGGGACTTCCCCATACCTCTCGGCGGAGTCCGTGACAGGGAGAAGCCCTGTCAGGTGCCCAAACCTGGCAGCTGGCATCTTCCTGTCCAAGCCTGCCCTTGCCCCCGAAGGCCCCAAAGGACAGTGGCACCCCTGCCTCCCGATGGCCTGGCGTCTTCCTCTCGCGCAGCCACTGTCCCGCCCTGAAACCCTGCCCTTTGCTGGCACAGTGCAGCAGTGCTGTCCGGGTGACCAGGGCTGGCGGCTGCAACCTCCTGGCCTTGCTGGGTGGGGCAAGCCCACTCACCATGTGCCCTGGGGTTCCAGCAGAGTTCTCATGTGTTGGCACCCAAGGGCTACATGTCCCCGAGGTACACGCCACAGTGAAACCGCCAGGACCCAGGCTGTGGCACTGTGCATGTCACACTGACTGCCACGTTGTTTTTCAAAGGCTGTCCCCCCAGCAGCGTGGGGCACCGCCTGGCCGTCCCAGCCCACTCTGGCCGCTGTCCAGCTTTTTGGTTCTCGCCAACCTGGGGTCCTGGAGAGGCATTCACAGCGGGCGTATTTTGCATTATAATGAAGTCATACATCTCATATGCTCCCGGGCTATTTGGATTTTCTCGGGTGACACCGTGGAGGGACATTCCAGGGGCTCCTGGGGGGCTTGCAGTTCTATTTTTTGATCTCACTGTACAGTCAGCTGTTATTACTGGCGAGCTCCTATGTCTCCTGCAGTTTGTACGGTCCTGGGTCTGGTGTTCGCCGTCCCTCCGTGGGCGCTGCCGGCGTCTTCACTGTCCTGGTCCGCTCTGGGGGCTCCTTCTCACGGCCCACGCAGGTGACACGGCAGCCTGGCTCCCCCCTCACCTTACACAGGATGGCTTTTGGGGTGTGACCTGACCATACACTGCTGGAGCAGGCGGGGTCTCGTCGATTTAAAACCCTCCACCCCAACCTGGTCCTGTGTATGCGGGGAGCACAAGGCCGCATCTGGTGTGTTCTCAGGGACAGGAGGTGGCCTGCTCCAGGGCTCAGGCCTCGGGGACCGGCCTCCTGTTGTATGAGAGCACACCCACAGGTAGCGCCTGTCCCTCCAGAGCGGGTGCGAGAAGATGGAAGAGCCGCCTGAATGTTCCTGCTGGAGGCTGTGACAACAGCGGTCCCACTTCACCTGGATGCCCTGTCGCAGGACGATGGAGGCCCCCACCCTCTGCACTGCGTATCTGGAGGGGAGGTGGCACTCCCAGAGGGGCAGCACGGATAGCTCCCAAGAGAGGGGTGACGGTGGCAGCTCTGGGGCCAGTCCCTGCTTGGTGCTTGGTGTGCCGACACCGCAGAGGCTGTGTGAGGGGGGCACCTCCATGTGCTCCAGGGGGTCGAGGAGGTGCGTTCTCAGATCCCCTGGAGTGTGTCCCCTGGGGAGTTTTGAAGGCTGTGGGCTGGGCGCATTCTTCTTCCATCAAAGCCACGGAGGTATCCAAAGGTTGATTTATCCCCTCGCCTCTTCTCTGCAGCTTCTCTTGCTGAATCCAGGTCACCATAGGGGAAGGAGGCAGTGCCACCCTGGGCACTGCCTCAGCGGCCGTTCCTGCCTGGCAGCGGCTTCCTGAGAGACCTGCTGCCCAGAAGGAAGGGCTGAGCTCCTCAGGCATGAGCTCCTGGGGACGTGGGCTGGAGCTGGAGAGGGCAGGAGGCCCTGGGGACTGCAGCTGTGGCTGCCAGGAAGCCCCTCCTCTACTCCGGGAGGCTTGGCTCGGTCTGACTCGCCCAGCGGTGGGCTTGCCCAGATAGGCATGTGAAGGGTCTTCAGTGCCAGCCGTTCAGAGGGAAGGCATCTGGCAACAGCTGCATGACGCCCGCCCTCGACAGCGAGCACCAGAGCCCAGAGATCCGGGCACTTGCCTGCTGGAGGCTTGGACAGCCCTGCGCCCAGGACCCACAGCCTGGGAGAAGAGAGGGTCTTCCGGGGAACAGCTGCACCCTCTGGGGTCACCGCTCACACAGAGGGGCCTGGCTTGTTCCCAGCCATGGAGTTCATTCATTTGACCCCAACCCATAGCCCGTGGGGGGGCGAAGCCAGAGCTACAGGGTCAAAACCCCACCAAGTGGGGACTGGCTTCTCTGCCAGTCACAGGCCACCTGGCTTTGTGGGCAAAACCCCACGTGACAGCGACCCCTGGCCCCCCGTTCACCTTGTGTGTGGGACAACCTGGGTGAGGGCGGGGTCCCCTGTGAGCAGGAGGCAGCCTCAGTCCCGCGCCCCACCCCGCTTCCGGCCCCTCAGCCGACCGGCCCGATTGGGCTCAGCTGGCGGCGCCTCCCGCCGACCTCCTGGGTCCCCGCCTGGAGGAAGACGGCGCTGCCCCCCGCGCCTCTGCCCAACGCTGACAGCCGAGCCGACCCTTGCGGGGCGCCAACTCCAGTGACAGCCCACCCGCTACTGTCCCACGCGGCGCGCCCGGGGTCCCGTCCCCTCCAGCGGAAAATTCAAGGCCGGTGGGGGGCGGCGAGACCAGCGGCGGGACCCCCCGCGGCCACGATCTGGCCCACGGGGGGGGGGGGTGCCCGAAGCACCCTCCCCGGAAACTCTCCGCGCACCTCTCCACCGGGGAAGGTGGGGGGCCCACCTTGGGGCGGGGGGCTCACCTCGTCCTCGGGCAGAGTGGGGAGCGGCTCGAAGTCGTAGAAGTCGAGGTCCTTGCGGTCCTCGAACAGATCCGCCGCGGCGGGGTCCATGGCCTGCGTCCTGGGGCGCGCGGCGCCGCGCACTCGGTCCCCGCCGGGCCTCCGCGCTCCGCGTCGGGCAGGAGCCTCCGGGCCGCCGCGCCTCGGCTCTCCCGCGGCCTCT